GGTCCTTGAAAAATATCCAGGTTTTTGATCTATGGGTCCTTGAAAAATATTCTTTAAAAAATCCACGTTTTGGCTTTATGGGTCCTTGAAAAATTTTCCTTCAAAAAGTCCACGTTTATTGGTCTATAGGTCCTTGAAAAATATTCTTGAAAAAAAATCCATGTTTATTGGTCTATGGGTCCTTGGAAAATTAAAGAAGAAGAGGGTATATCATATCCCATTGAATATCTTCAAAAATCTCCACCTCCGAAATGGTAACTCTGTCCTAAGAAAAGAAAAATGCACATTTCATGAAACCCCTCGACAAACCTCCTCCTCCACGTGTGTGTGTGTGAAAATTAGAGGAAATGTGTATCTGTATAGGTGTGTGTGTGACATTGTCATTAGAAAAATAAAGGAAAACAAGAAGAAAAAGTTGTAGCAGAAAAGTGAAAGGAAAGCCCCCAAAAGAAAACAAAATAAAGGCACCACCAGACCACTCGGCAAATAATTTCGAATTTCAAGAGTAAGAGGATGTGTGTGTGTGTGTTATTCCTTTGCAGACAGGCTCGTTTACTATGCCTGTGTGTGTGTTTTTGTAATTTTTCATGGCTTTCCTTTTTCTGAAGGCAAAAGTAATGATCTAAAAATAGATTTGGAAGAAAATCAATAAAGGAGGCAAAAACAAATGTTGGTTAGAAGGATGGAGGGTTGGATGGATGGGTTGGGTCAGGTCGAATGGTTGGTAGGCTGTAAGGTAAGGTGTCTGGGTTAGCAGGCAGGGGGTCGGATGACTGAGTGGGGTTGGGGTCGAATGGGATGGTTGGTAGGTTGGGAAGTTGGATGTCTGGGTTGAGAGGTTGGTTGGGAGGTTGGCTGGTTGGAAGGCTCGAATGGTAGCTTGGTTGGTTGCTTGGTTGGTTGTTTGATGGCTGTCTTGGCAGGAGGCCGAATGACTACTGACTGGGGGCCGGGTGATATGGTTGGTAGGCTGGCTGGGTTGGTGAAGGCTCGAATACTTGCTTTCTTGGTTGGTTGCTGCTGCCGCCGCTGATTTTTCCTTTTTCATTTGTTGATGGCGTTTTTTTAATGTACTTTTTATCCTTTGGCATATACACACATACAGACACACATACGTAGATACATATATACACACACAGATTATGTTATTGTATAATAATATTAGAATAATTAGACAGTGGAACCTATAACCAAACACTTCAGGATATATGGGATAAAAATTAAAGACATTCAAAGGTGTGTAATAGGACCTCGTAAGTCTTTTTAAATGACGACAATCCAAGGAAATAAACTAGCCACCCATAAGTCCTGTAATTTCCTATAAGTGACAAATCAAAAACAACCATAAAGACAAAAGACCCATGGAAGGCCTTCTATATCCAGAAAACCCATAGAAGATTTTCTATGCCTAGAAGATCCAGAATGAAGGATATTCTATCTTTAGAAGGCCCATGAAATGACTTCTACTTCTAGAAGACCCATTCAAAGGGGTATAATAGGACCCTCGTTAGCCTTTTTATTGACGACAATCCCAGGAAATAAACTGGTCACTCTTAAGTCCTATAATTTTCTTAGAAAAGAGAAAGGAAAGAGGAAAAAGAGAACTTTGAGTAAAAACCAAAACAACGATAAAGACAGAAGACCCATGGAAGGCCTTCTATCTCCAGAAAGCCCATAGAAGTTATTTTATGCCTAGAAGACCCAGACCCAGGCCCATAGAAGGTCATCTATCTCTAAAAGACCTATGAATATTTAGAGAATCCATGAAATGTCTTCTACTTCTAGAAGACCCATCTCAAAAAGGCTCGTTGAGGGTCTTCTAATTCTAAAAGGCCCATATATAGCCTTCTACATATAACAAAAAGACACATGGTAGGTCTTCGTCATCTAGAAGATCTATATAGGTTCTTCTATTAGTAGAAGACCTATAAAAGGTATTCGATCTTCACAAGACTCTTGGAGGGTCATCTATCTCTAAAAGACCTATGAAGGATATTCTATATTTAGAGGACCCATGAAATGTCTTCTACTTCTAGAAGACCCATCTCAAAAAGACCTATGGAAGACCTTTGACATCTATAAGACCCATTAAGGGTCTTCAAAATCTAGAAGACCAATGGAGGGTCTTCAACATCTAGAAGACCCATATAGGTTCTTCTATCAGTAGAAGACCTATAAAAGGTCTTCGATCTTCACAAGACCCTTGGAGGATCATCTATCTCTAAAAGACCTATGAAGGGTATTCTATATTTAGAGGAACCATGAAATGCCTTCTACTTCTAGAAGACCCAGCTCAAAAAGACCCATGGAAGGTCTTCCACATCTAGAAGACCCATATAGGTTCTTTTATCAATAGAAGACCTATAATAGGTCTTCGATCTTCACAAGATCCTTGGAGGATCATCTATCTCTAAAAGACCTATGAAGGGTATTCTATATTAAGAGGACCCATGAAATGTCTTCTAATTCTAGAAGACCCATCTCAAAAAGATCCATGGAAGGTCTTCGACATCTAGAAGACCCATTAAGGGTCTTTAAAATCTAGAAGACCCATGGAGGGTCTTCAACATCTAGAAGACCCATATATGTTCTTCTATCAATAGAAGACCTATAAAAGGTCTTCGATCTTCACAAGACCCTTGGAGGATCATCTATCTCTAAAAGACCTATGAAGGGTATTCTATATTTAGAGGAACCATGAAATGCCTTCTACTTCTAGAAGACCCAGCTCAAAAAGACCCATGGAAGGTCTTCCACATCTAGAAGACCCATATAGGTTCTTTTATCAATAGAAGACCTATAATAGGTCTTCGATCTTCACAAGATCCTTGGAGGATCATCTATCTCTAAAAGACCTATGAAGGGTATTCTATATTAAGAGGACCCATGAAATGTCTTCTAATTCTAGAAGACCCATCTCAAAAAGATCCATGGAAGGTCTTCGACATCTAGAAGACCCATTAAGGGTCTTTAAAATCTAGAAGACCCATGGAGGGTCTTCAACATCTAGAAGACCCATATATGTTCTTCTATCAATAGAAGACCTATAAAAGGTCTTCGATCTTCACAAGACCCTTGGAGGATCATCTATCTCTAAAAGACCTATGAAGGGTATTCTATATTTAGAGGACCCATGAAATGTCTTCTAATTCTAGAACACTCATCTCAAAAAGACCCATGGAAGGTCTTCGACATCTAGAAGACCCATTAAGGGTCTTTAAAATCTAGAAGACCCATCATCTAGAAGACCTATAAAAGGTCTTCGATCTTCACAAGACCCTTGGAGGATCATCTATCTCTAAAAGACCTATGAAGGGTATTCTATATTTGGAGGACCCATGAAATGTCTTCGAATTCTAGAAGACCCGTTTAGGGTCTTCTAGAGATAGAGGACCTCCCACGGGTCTTCTAGAAGTAGAAGACTTATAGCGGTTTTTCTATCTCTAGAAGACCCATGGAGGGTCTTCAACATCTAGAAAACCCATATAGGTTCTTCTTTATGTAGAAGACACATAAAAGGTCTTCGATCTTCACAAGACTCTTAGAGGGTCATCTATCTCTTAAAAGATCTATGGAGGGCATTCTATCTTTAGAAGACCCATGAAATGTCTTCTAACTCCAGAAGACCCATCTTCTAGAAGTAGAAGACTTATAGCGGTTTTTCTATCTCTAGAAGACCCATGGAGGGTCTTCAATATCTAGAAGACCCATGGAGGGTCTTCAACATTTAGAAGACCCATATAGGATCTTCTATCAGTAGAAGACCCATGAAAGGTCCTCGATCTCCACAAGACCCTTGAAGGGCCATCTATCTCTAAAAGATCTATGGAGCACATTCTATCTTTAGAAGATCCATGAAATGTCTTCTAACTCCAGAAGTCCCATGGAACGTCTTTTAGTTCTAGGAGACCCACTCCGAGTCTTCTATCTCCAGTCGGCCCATGAAGGGTCCTCAAACTCTAGAAGACCCAATGAAGGTCTTCTACCTTTACTAGGCCCATTAAAGGTCTTCTATCTTTAGAAGACCTAAGGTGGGTCTTCTATTTCTTGAATACCCATGAATGAGCTTTTCCTCTAGAAGACCCATAGAAGGGTCCATCTATAGCAGACCCATGGAGGGTTCTCTACCCCTAAAAGTCCAGTGGAGGGTCTTCTATAAAGTATCCTACCCCTTGAAGACCCACAAATAAACTGGCCGATGGGACCTACAAAAATGAGGAAAATTTATTGAACTATTAATGGTGTCTTTAGCCATCGGCTGGAGGTCTATATATAAGACAGCGAAATAGTGTATATTGGGCAAAAATTGATGACAATAAAGGGTAATTATACACCCTTTATTGTCATCAATTTATGTCCCTCCTGAGTCCTATCAGTATAGGAGAAGGATTTATAGGACAATTTTTGAAGGTCCTACCCATAAAGGTTTTACTGTATATACAATAACCATTATTACACAAAAAATGTGTATCTGTGGCTATATATGTGTCTGTGTGTGTGTGTTTTCTATAGAATGGAAATTTATTTTATTTGCATGGAAAAATGGAAATTCCAATTCTAAAAATAAATGTGTAAGGCTTTCGCCATGGGAGGCCGGAGGGAAGCCTCAACTGTTTCTCCACGAAATAAGTCGTAAAAAATAAATAAATAAATAAATGTAATCTAATATAAGTAATATAAATAAAATTAAAAAATATGTATCAACATTTTCACCGAAAGTGAAATTATCGGAGATTTTTTATAAAAAAAAATGTTTAAAAAAAATGAGAACTTTTTGTAGAGGCTAAAACCGAAAAAAAATTATTTAAAAAATATTCCATTCAGCCCATTTTTTCTTTAGATATAGTATATTCAGCCAACATGTTTTTTTTTCAAAAGAGTTCAATTCAGAAACAAAAATTTTCACAGAAAAACCTTATATGCCAAAAAATGGTCCTCGCCGATCATTTTTGTTAAAAAAAAAATATTCTTAGCCAAAATTTTCTTTTTTTGAAACTTACCATGTGTTGATATTCGCTCTTCCGGTGAAGTCATTTTTTAATCCTATTTTGTACAAAATCTGAAAGAAAAACAAGAATAAATACAAAAATAATTAAATTTTTTCAAATATTTTTTTTTTTTTTTTTTTTTGTTTAACTGATACTAAATTAATTTAATTTTATTTAATTTAGTATAACTCAATTCTTTAAGATTCCTTTAAATTAAACAAGTTAAACCAGTAAAGGAAGTCTTAAAATCGGGCGGTGCCGACTTTATGATACCCTACACCATTTTGCTAATTTAGTAGAGCTCCGCATAACAATTAAACGTTTTAATGGGAGAATTCAATCATACACGCTATAATTATAATCATAATTATAATTATATATAATTATGTATAATTATGTATAATTATAATTATTATAATTATAATTTAAAGTTCAAAGGACTAAATATGCCGAAACATTTGTATCTTTTAAAATCGGACTTGTATTGCCCATTTGGTGTACAGTTAATTTGAAATAGGATAAAGATATATATGGGAGCTATATCCAAATCGGAACTGATCTCGATAAAATTTGGCAAAGATATTTCTGAGCTGTATTTGACGCACTTCCCTAAATATCGTTGTTACGGAGTGCATATTACGACTGTGGGTAATAAATATGACAAATCGGATGAACAGTATATATGGGAGCTATAGCCATATCTGAACCGATCTTCACCAAATTTGACATACTAGCTTCTAGACTCAATTTGGTCGTAAGTGCCAAATTCCGTCTCATTTGGACAAATATTCGACGTTTGGTGCAGAATAAAAAGTAAATCGGACGAAGTTATATATGGGAGCTATATCCAAATCTGAACCGATCTCGATAAAATTTAGCAAATGTTTTTCTGAGCTGTATTTGATATATTTCCCCAAATTTTGTTGTTACAGAGTGTATATTACGGCTGCGGAGGACAAAAATAACAAATCGGATGAACAATATATATGGGAGCTATAGCTATATCTGAACCGATTTTGATCAAATTTGGCATACTTATTTTGAGGTCCAATCTGATCGTACGTGCAAAATTCCATACTATTCGGACTGATATTACACCCGTATGGTGCACAATAAAAGGCAAATCGGACGAAGATGTATATGGGAGCTATATCTAAATTTTTTACAGATTATCCCCAATTTCAATAGGGTTCGTCCTTGGGCCAAACAAATGATTTTTGCAAAATTCCATTTGGATAGGACAATAAATGCGAACTGTACTTTGTTTACAAAAATACATGGACAGACGGTCGGACGGACATGCATAAATCGACCCAGAATGTGATTCTATGCAGATCATCAAAAGGAACTATGGGTCTATCTCGTTTCTTTTTGCCTGTTACAAACAAATGCACAAAGACATAATACACTGACCACCTTGTGGTGTAGGGTATAAAAGTAACAATATCGGTTTGCCGACAGTCGTATACCCTCAGCGAACTTTCGTTTATCTGTTTTTATATAAAAAGGGTAGTGAAATAACTGACTGACTGAGAATTTAGGATCTTGAAGTTTTGCACAAGGGCCAGTCTTGGGTCGTAGGCGCATGAGAAAGCTGGCCTTTTGGAAATGCGTACTGAAAGGGTACGAAAAGTACTAAAAATTGGATACTTTGTATTGGACAAACGGAATGAGAAAAATTGAAGCGGTGCACAATAGATGTTCTGATGTTCCCAAGGGTTGTTGGATATTTGAGCTTTAAAGTTACGAAAAGTTATGAAATTGCACTAAACGTCCAAAAGTGGTACCATTTGTGGTATTATGTAAGGAAGAATGAGATATGAAGGTACTTTTGGAAATGTGTACTAAGTGTGCGAACTGTACTAAATAGCAATAAATTTGAAACAGTTTGGTTTTGGGTGAACGGATGTAGCTGGAATTTGGAAATGTTGTAATGGGTCCCTGTATGTGGCAGGTTTGTTATAAAGAGGTGATTTTGGAAATATGTACTATATGGTACAATTTGGTATTGGATAGACAGATAGTCTTTGAAATCTGAAATTTGTTAATGTGTGTAGTATGGACATTTGAAGGTTGGTTTCGGAAATGCATCCTATATGTGTACGAAAATTACTAAATGGTACTAAATTTAGCATTTGGGCTGGTATCTCTCTGTTGGTATCTGAAATTGTCATATGAAGGTTGTTTTGGAAATTCGTACGAAAGGTACTTTACAGAACTAAGTTTGGTAATGCCTGAAGGGATAGAGCTGAAATCCTGAAAATTCATATAGTTATTGAGGGTGAGCGGATGATACGAAATATACTAAATGGCCCAAAATCTGGTATTGGGTAGATCTGGACTGAATCGACTACTTTATTCACTTTACATGGGAGACATAGAGAATGTTGTGATCTAGTGCCGAAGAGATCTTGTGTTAGTAGAAATGTTAGCATGTGTGGAATTTAAGAGTTTTGACACGTTGTGGGGTAGGTACCAGAAGGAGTTGTCCGATATATCCCATCTTCACAACAGATCTTGCTTTAGTGGAAATATTGCAATTTGTGAAATTTGAAGAGAATCGGAGCTTTATTTCGTGTTTCAGGAGTGTTTTGCTTTTTCAAAATGTTGACCCCTTTGTGGGGGGAGGTGTCAGAAGGAGTAGTCCAATATATTCCATCTTTATATCACAACTTGTGGTGATAAAAATACTGGGATGTATGAAGTTTAGAGAGGATTTAATGCTTATTTCACATTTTATTCAAGTTTTGGTTATTCAAAACTGTGACCCGTTGTACGGGAGTTACCAGAAGGAATGTTCCGATCTGTACGATCTTTTTGACAGATCTTGTGTTGATGGAAATATTGAGAGGTATGAAGTTTAGAATGAATCGAATAATTATTTCACATTTTATTCACGTTTTAGTTATTCAAAATTTTAACTACTTTATGGGGGAGGCACCAGAAGCAGTGGTCCGATAAATTCCAAATTCATATTAGATCTTGTGTTGTTGGAAATATTGAAATTTGTGCGACATAAAGTGAGTCAGATGTTCATTTCGAGTTTTATCCGTTTCACAATTTTTCAAAATTTTTGGCCCACTTTGGGGGGGGGAGGACTCGGAGAGAGTAGGCCAATATATCCCATTTTCACACCAGATCTTGTGTTATTAGAAATATTGAGATGTGCCGAATTTGAATGGAATCGGATGCTCATTTCGTGTTTTACCAGTTTCATAATTATTCAAAATTTTTGGCCCGTTGTGGGGGAGGTGTGTCAGAGGCAGTGGGCGGATATAATCCATTTTCACACCAAACCTTGTATTGATAGAAATATTGCAATGTGAGAACTTTGAAGTGAATCAGAGCTTCATTTTGTATTTTATAGAGTTATAGTTATTCAAGATTTTAACCTTTTGTGGCGGAGGTCCGATATATTCAATTTTCTCACCTGACCTGGCAGTCATGAAAATATAGGAATTCGCAAAGTTTGAACAGAATTAGATGCTCCTTTCTCTTTGTGTGCAATAAAATATTTTCTTAGACAATGTTGACCCTATTGTGGGAGAGGTACCAAAAAAAAAGGGGGGGGGCCAATAGTGCCCATTTCCGTTCACGATCTAAGTTAGATGGTAGTATTACGATGTAGCAAGTATTAACTAAATCGGATACTTCCTTCGAGAGTTATCGTGCACTCGTGTTAGTCGGACAGACGTACGGACATCCCTACATCGACTTCAAACGTCCTGAAATGGTTTTGGCCTAAAGGAACCCTGAGCCTAAAAAGGTTTTTTTTTTTGTTTTTTTTTTTTTGGATGATATACCCTCTGTTGCCTTATGGCTGAGAGAACGAAAGTGTACAAAAATGAACGGAATTGTACCAAATGTATAATTGGGTCACTCTCAGCTATCTTTCTACGAAATATCACCTTGGTTTTTTTATTGGACCTTCGAAGTTCTATTCCAAAAAAAAATTTTGGAAAATTTCCACAAAAAGTGGAACACCCGCGAACACACGTCACGTGTAAACAGCACTGTTGTAAATAAAGCGGTATCTTAAAGGGGGCAACTGTCCTACCTTCCAAACTAACAAAAAAAAAAAACGAAAAAAAAATGCGGACACGTTATCACAAAGTTTCCAAATATTACTGAACTATTTTTGGCCTTATCAAGCCAAGTTGATGTAATGTGTCATTTGATCGCTCCATTCTCGATCCATGGGGGGTAGAAAATGAAAAAAAAAAACGGAAATAGTTTTTTACACCTCACAATGATTATGGCCGATTTTTTTACCTTATCATGATGACTTTTTTTGGAGTGCCCCCAAAATTTTTGGGATCGATTGAGGATGGGACTCACTTATTACAAAGCATTTGCCCCCTCCCCACCCCCTCGCTTTTCGATTGGTATTCCGATATAAGTCCATAAATATATAAGTACCCACATAAATTTTTTGGAAAAAAATGGTTGTAAAATCAAAAACAAATTGCTACCTCCTCCCCCTCTACCCCCACCCCCTCCAACAGAAACTCCAAGTGATTTCAAAAAAAAACAAACAAACGAATGATTTGCCCCCATTTTTCTGGGGTTTATTGTTGTTGGTACCATTAACTCAAAAATTGTAAACAAAAATTAGAACAAGACACACAAACGTACATGTGTACATACCTACATAGCTGTGTGTGTGTGTGTATGTAAGTACCATGGGCAAGAGATGTTACAAACAAACCTTCAAAACTCACACCTAGGCAAATATTTTTCGTGACTCGGCAATTTTGTGTAAAGCTTAATTTTTATATTATCAAAAAAAGAACTACAACAACTACAAAAATTACAAAATACAACAATAACTTGTTTTTTTTTTTTTTGTTATTTTAAAAACAGGTTTATTTTAATTTTTTTTTTTTTTGTTTTTATTTTTTCAGTTACATGAAACCTTGAGTTATGATGATTCTTATCGCTTGTAAACCAAACCAAACCAAACCAACAAAAAAAAAACGGAACAGAAAAACAAAATAAAACCAAAAACAAGCTTCACACCCCCTCCCCCCGACAAAAAAATGTTAGTAACATTATTTTGAAAAAAAGCAAC